CCCCAAAACCCCAAAACCCCAAAACCCCAAAACCCCGTTTAAAGTGTATTTTATTGAATATCTTGAAATTAAAAAATTAGAAGCCTTCCTTTTCTCTTTATAAATATTTAAATAGACAGAGAGGTATGAATGCGGGAAGACCCTCTTGTGCCTTTCCAGGTAAGATTATGACAGAAAATTGTATCCAAAAGTACAGCTTACTACTTTGAAACTTTATGGATTTCCTTTAGCTAAATTATAGAAATTCGGACAAGGCGACATGACAAAGGCACGAAACCAAAGATTATTTTCTGGAATTATTCAGAGCACGAAGTGCAGATAATAGTGAGGTATGGCCCACTTATCATCTATAGCGTAAAAAATCATGAAAATATTGGAAATGTCATGGTTGATAATAATCCATATGTTTAAGACAATACTCAACATACCTGATGGCATTAATGGAAACTGGAAGTGGGATACTTATCAAGAAGGAATTATGAGACCACTGAATAGAGTTGATATCAAGGCTGAAGGCTCGCATTACGGTAAGATATAAACATGATTCTTATAGACTCCACTCACAGCTATAGTACAAACTCAGACACTTTACTTTTTGCTTCTCAGAACCAGGTAAATGAGATCTGAAGAGAGAATGAAGATCTAAAGATCAAAATTGAAACCCTGAAATAATGAAAATAAGAATATTCGTGAACAAAAAGATCAAATCTTGAAGACATGGAATGAAGAGTGAAATGAGAATATAAAATTAAAGCAGAAAATAAATACCTTACTCCAGTCTTCATACAAGCTTTCGCCTACTGTGAAGGCTACCCCACTGAGTCATGTAGAAAATATAGCTCCTGCTGTTAACTCTAAATGTACATGAACGCCTCTTTCTGTTTCATTATCTTCAGTGAACCAGTCATTGTTTATGGATTTATTATCGAAGCTTCATGATGCATTATGATGACCATTGTCGCAGACACTGCTAGAGACACCAGTAATAACCCCTCTTGGGGATACCTTTTCAAAGGAATCGTTTAAGAACCATATAATAAGCAAAGGGTGAAAAGATATGGACAAGCCAGATACATTTCTGGCCAGCTTTACCCAGAATTATCTATCAGATTCAAATGTAACTTTCCGGCATCCTTTTGTCAGACTAAAATTGGCAGCATCACAGATTTATCCTAACAAAGTGATTAATGAAATCCTGAAAATTTATAACGAATACTGAGAAGTAGGAAATATGAAGGTATAACGATTTGGTATAAATTTTTATCAATTTTTAAGACCAATGTGGGTTCAGCTAATGGGGTTTTGGGGTTTTGGGGTTTTGGGGTTTTGGGGTTTTGGGGTTTTGGGG